TTCCAATAAAAACTGCCTCCAAACATTCTTCGCTTGGTTGATTTTCTCATTTTTATCTCTCAATTTTCCATTTTATCTTTTTCTTTTTAATTTTGAAAAATAGTTAATGGAGCATTTTAATTATTTCTTTTTGCTCTTAAATTTATAGATAATATGTCGAGGTAATCTATGACGTGAGAAGCAGACCAGATGTTTCCATGGTTCGATTCGCATTGAGGAGGGTACACTCATGGCGTTAATGGTGGCTTGAAAATGGTCTCGATTTTGCGGTTAGTTTTTTCTTCATAATCACTTCGAACTCTAAGTGAATTTATAAAAAATCTATGTAAATATAGTAGTTGCTTTGAATCTTCATCAATTTATTGAAGCAATTTTTGCAATCACGAGTCTGATAACTTGCACTACTATTTTCACTGTGAGAAGTATTTGCTTGAGGAAATTATGAGTTGAAATGTTGTTGTTTGCGGAATTTTATGAGTTCTATACTTTTGGATGGTAACTTGACAAAGGCCATGTTTGTACACATCCAAGAAGGGACAGAACTTGGGTTGATTTTATTGCTTGACATAGTTCAATGTTACTCATAGAAAGAATTTACAGTTTTGTAGCTTCGAAGATGAATACTTGCTAAACTTCATAATAAGTAAAGAAAATTATATATGGAGACCTATACTAGAAAAATATTTCCACTCTTGTATCTTTTCTTTGGTTTCATGGACCTCAATGAGTGGGGCAATGTCTCAGTTTATGAACTACAAACAGATAGATTATATATCATAAACTTAATTGTTGTGGTTTTACATAAGGATTGATACTGTGTTTCTTGAGATTTTCATTCTTGATACTCCAGTTATGTTTGCCTGTTGAGGAAAGACCAGTCCAAAATATAAAGGAAGAGGAAAGGCCTTTTTCCTGATAAACCTGTAGTTTGACATATAAATCTTTTTTATTGACTCCATTTGATCCAACTTCATATCTATGAAAGATGCATTTTGGATGTAGGTGATTTTTCGATGCTTCTCTTTTCCGACAATAATAGATGTAGAAGCACGGATTACATGCTTACTTTTTGTTATATGACAGTAGCTAAGCATGGGTGAATTAGATGGAAAAATTCTGAATCGTACTAAACATGGATATTTGGATATAATCACGATAGTCCGATTGGCATTGGAATTGAATATTGAAATCCTTCGTATCGAAAAATTGAATCCGAAAGAATCATAAATATTAGTTCAGTTTTCATAAACCACACTTTAATATTAAAGGAACTAAGAGTGTGTTTGGGACACATTCTTTTGAAAGAATGTATTATTGAATAGTAGATTGATAGAGAATGTATGGTTAAAAATGAAGGAAAAGTTATTGATGTGATGGAAAATATTATTTTATTGAAGAATGTGTGGTTGAAAATGAGTAGAAGAATGAGAATGAAAAAAATAATGTGTACCAAACAGGACCTAAGCGTCGTTTTGCTTCAATTTTTACGTTATAAGGAGATGAATAATAATTTTTTGAAAAATGCGTGGTTAAAGAAAAAAAAATTGGGTTAGATTGTAATATTATTTTATTGAAGAATGCGTGATTGATAAAAAAAAAAATAGAGAAAAAACAAGAATTATAATTTAGTGTGGCCAAAAGGGGGTAAAAGGGAAACTTTGGATTTTCTATTATACAAAAGAAAGCGTGTTTTTCATTATAACAATGAACTTCATATACAAAGTTTTGATGGAGTTACAATCTGAATAAAATATACTCTTTTAGATTTAAGTAAAAAAAAAATCTCGACTTCTATATTATTCCAACTAATCATTTGTTATTATCGAGAACAAAATGAGCGAAAGAAGAAGAGTATAACAATCATTTATATTTTGTGTGCCAATGTCCTTAATGCACCATCTTGCAAAAACTTGTATAAACAATTTTGATGATTTTTTTTTTTTCACACTAGTTCTTGTACATGTTTGATAATTAAAAAAAAATTCTAGTTTCACCCTTCTCCCTGTATGTTCAAAATATGATTCGAATTATCATTCTGCAACCTTTGACTCTCAAAGAGTTCAGGCCAAAACCTTATAGCTAATTTTATTACTATTCAAATCTAATCTTTATAGTGTAGTTGTGTTGTGCGGACCAAACATGACCTTAAATTCCTAAGCTGTTCCCCTCTTCGTCACCCCTTTTGTCGACGTTATACAAGGAAAGGACAACCTTTGCGTTGAACAAAGAGGTAGCTACAGCTCTAACCAAGGAAGAAGATGGGGATTCAACAAATATTACTTCTCCTGAAGTACACAAATTCATACTTCAAAGAAAATCGATCAGAGTAGTTTATACGAACCAGGGTCAAAGTTATTATTTTTCTACAACACTTCATTCCAGGGTATCCGGTGCCCACCTACTTATATATACTTCTTTTTTCCTTCAGTCGATAGTCATCAGCCAAAGCCAAATGCACTCCAAAGCAGAGCCTTCACCACCATTTCCGTTTAAGAAGTACAAGATCTTCAGAATAATACACCAGCCACCGGCTAAAGTGTCCCCTTAAGTGCCACAGCCACCAATACCACTGCTAAATGCTAGAACTGTAGCGTAGAGGATGGCGCCGGTGCAACATCCTTTGCATCCATCTCCTGCGCGGTTCAGGGGGCAAACAAACAAAACATTCTCTTTCACCTTCATCCTGCAAAATCTCAAAAGCATCTAAGTACATCTCACTCGACTGCGGGATATCCTCCATTTCATTCAAACACTTGAGAGCAACAGCAATCGAGTAATCTGGAGCACAAACAGGTGCCACCATAAGGGATCCCATTGGAATCTTTACATTTGTAAGCTCGGCAAGTTTAGCTACACAAGCCCTTAACTCATTCATCCATGGCTCTCCATTAATTTGAGGTTTTAATGCAGATTGCTGAGGATGTTTTCCACGTGAAGGTGTCAGTTTTTGAACTCCACTGTCGTCTTGTATTTCTCTAACTGCCTGATGTTCAAGATCAGATAACACCTCAGGTAGTAGTCCAATCTCAACATCAGCAGGTTGTTGGGCAGCTGATTGGCCAGGACCTAGATTATATTTCCATGGGAGATACAAACGGTTCGATCTCGTATAATTCAACGTCGCAGGTGACTTCTCCTTTTTATCTTGTTTAAAAACAGGACATATCCCATCACTTACATGACGGAGTAAATGAGTTGTCCCACTTCTGCTTGAACAAGTAAATAGCTTCTGGCAGTGATTGCATTGACATTTATCACATGTTCCGTCCTCCTTTATGATCTTTGTGAAATGCTCCCAAACTTTAGATCTTAACTTCCCTTCTCTTTTGCGTTTCTCGCCAGTGCTTGCTTCCGATTGATAGTTGGCCTCAACATCAATTTCCTTATCTGCATCTGCCATCTAACCAAATAGAAAAATAACAGATTGTCAAATTTGATGTTAAAATTAATACACCACACCTCTATGTCCAAAGTGCTGTTCAAGTGCCAATATCTGTGTTCTTGTGTAAACTATTAATCAACAATGAAAGAATGAACCATCTTGAAGATCCATAATAACCAAATGAACATAACTAAAAAGTATTACACATAAATATAATATATACATCAATAGAGTAGCGATTTAAAAGTTCTCAAATTAGTAGCCAAATAACAAAATTATAATCTACTGCTATAATTAGAGAAAAAAATAGAAGTGTCTCATATCATCACTACAGATAGGACCTTAGGACCATCCCATCAATATATTCGATTCTAATGTGATCCTCCTCATCACGATAAATTGTTTATCATTCTCTGTCCTCATCCTCTCCTTCCCTTTCCTTTTCATGTAAGGGGGAAAAAACAAAAGTAAACAGAGGCCAAATAAAACCCGTAAAATGTTCCAGGTTACATAAATTAGCCCAGAAAAATATTTAGAAAAGCTGAGACAAACCACGCACTTAAGCCTCTTTGAAATGAGACGCAAGACTTGACGAACGGAACTAAATGCATAAGCTTCTAGGAATTTCTAACATGCAGGAATCAAACGTAAGCCTCAAACAGCTTTTTAAGAATTGTTATTAGTATGGAATGCATCAAGCAAACGGTTTTTCGAATTGAAATTTTGTCAAAATGTTTTTCTTTATCTACCATTATCAGTCATTTTTCACAACATATTTCCAGATCCTAGCACATTTCTTATATTGTCTACAACATCAATCTGCAAGTTTTATTTTTCTTAAACTCAAATAACAACAGCAAACCATAGAAAAGAAACTTGCTTAAAATGTATAATTCACTAACCAAACAGGGTAAAGAATCCAATCTAGCATTTATCTAGCTTATTCTAAAAAAAAAAAAAAAATCATTCGTTTCCTGATGCTGAAAAATTATCCGCAAAAGATCTATTGGCAGTTTTTCCTTTGGTTCTTCTACAAGCATTTCATTTTTTTCTAAAAATTAATGTACGCAAAGTAATTGGGTATTTAATATATATACGCCAAGACCGCGTGTATTAAAGTAAACTTGAGGAGTACTCGCCTTTTCCATCAGTGGTCGGCGACGGTGGAAGCGAAATCTGGAAAATGCAAATCAAAATTCAGCACCAAAAAACCCTAGCAGAAAATGGTTGGATTTTTGCTTGTATGAAACAGGGCGGGCCCAAATGGGCCGAGGCGCCAAGGTCATCCTGGGCCTGATTGAACTTCGGGCTTGAATTTTCTGATATAATCAGCCCGGCTCGACCCACTTTACTTCCTCCTCCTCCTCCATCCTTTTTGACCTTCCATTTTTGTCTATTCTTTCCCTCCAGCTAGATATGTACTCGCACAGTGAGCGCGTGTTCTTCTAGTATATTCATTTTCCTTGGTCCATGTTTGTTTAACCTTAAAAAATTGTATGACAGGTACTTATTTTTCATTTATTAGGACATAAAGCCCTTGTTTGGACTCCATTTTAATGAAATTTTGAGAAAAATATATTTTAAAATAGTAATTTTAAAGAATATTTGATTAAAAAATAAGAAATTTTTTTAGATTTAAGTGAAATGTTACCCCTCGACTGAAGAGGCCCCAATAGATCATGGGCCTACACTCCACACTTCACGAGGTGCCTTTCTAACACAGAAAGGGACACCATGCAGCAGTAATCTAGCGATACCTTCCGCCTTTTCTCGGTCGTTTCGGAGCGAAAGAAAATTTGATTACAATTTGTAGAAAGCTTGCAACATGAAATTGAAATGCATTGAATGTAAATTGATCATTGATTGCTTAAAAACTAGAAATTACAATTGATGAAAGCAGGAAATTACAATGAATAGTGCAGGAGGCGAACACTAGAAATGTTGAAAGATTGTTTGAAAGACTAATACCCCTATATTAGCATTCTAAGCAAAAACCTAAGTGATAGGAGTAGACGTTTAAATGCCGATGAATCATACTAAACGTTTTCTAATATCACAGTTATTTTATAATTGAAATAAAATATTTACAATGTGCAGCCGAAGTTGGGCAACTGCAACTGCGATTAGGTCAAGGGGTTTAAGCAAAGCTGCGGTTAGGGGTGTAAATGGATCGGATATGGATCGGATCTGCCTATATCCGATCCGATCCGATCCGATAATCTAACGGATATTTAATTGTTAAATCCANCCCTAGCAGAAAATGGTTGGATTTTTGCTTGTATGAAACAGGGCGGGCCCAAATGGGCCGAGGCGCCAAGGTCATCCTGGGCCTGATTGAACTTCGGGCTTGAATTTTCTGATATAATCAGCCCGGCTCGACCCACTTTACTTCCTCCTCCTCCTCCATCCTTTTTGACCTTCCATTTTTGTCGATTCTTTCCCTCCAGCTAGATATGTACTCGCACAGTGAGCGCGTGTTCTTCTAGTATATTCATTTTCCTTGGTCCATGTTTGTTTAACCTTAAAAAATTGTATGACAGGTACTTATTTTTCATTTATTAGGACATAGAGGCCTTGTTTGGACTCCATTTTAATGAAATTTTAAGAAAAATATATTTTAAAATAGTAATTTTAAAGAATATTTGATTAAAAAATAAGAATTTTTTTTGGATTTACGTGAAATGTTACCCCTCGACTGACGAGGCCCCAATAGATCATGGGCCTACACTCCACGTTTCACGGGGTGTCTTTCTTCTTAACACAGAAAGGGACACTATGCGGCAGTAGTCTAGCGAAACCTTTCGCCTTTTCTCGATCGTTTCGAAGCGAAAGAAAATTTGATTACAATTTGTAGAAAGCTTGCAACATGAAATTGAAATACATTGAATGTAAATTGATCATTGATTGCTTGAAAGTTAGAAATTACAATTGATGAAAGCAGGAAATTACAATGACTAGTGCAAGGGGCGAACACTAGAAAACTTAAAACATTGTTTAAAAGACTAATACCCCTATAATAGCATTCTAAGCAAAAACCTAAGTGATAGGAGTAGACGTTTAAATGCCTAGGAATCATACTAAACGTTTTCTAATATCACAGTTATTTTATAATTGAAATAAAATATTTACAATGTGTAGCCGAAGTTGGGCAACTACAATTGCGACTGCGATTAGGTCAAGGGGCTTAAGCAAAGCTCCAGTCCTTGACATTCTCCCCAATTTGTTTTGGCGACGTCATCGGAGCCATTGATGAATGATATGTTTCAATTAATGGTTTGAAGGCTCTAAGGTTTTTTCCACTTTCTCAAGTATTCTCCTCGCTGCTGTCTCCGCTCCATTTGATCAGGTACTCTTGATGATATTTTCTGGAAGCTCGAGTAGTACGATGGTCCAGTATAACTTCTATAACCTTCTTTCTAACTCTTTTCAGTTCAAACACAAGTCGCTTTGGCTCATTTCTGGATGCGTCTTCCTTGTCAGCAAAGTATGACTTGAGTACACCAACATGAATGACTTTGTAGATTTTGCACCATGAAGGGAGTGCAACTCTGTATGCGACTCTTCAAATCCTCTTCGCTATGGGTAATGGTCCAATATATTTTGACATCAATCTTAAGTCTTTCTCTCTTGTTCGGGTTATAACCATTTTTGTCGTGGAGTTTAACCATTACCAGATCTCCAGCATTAAATTCAAGGAAACAACGCTTTAGATTTGCAGACTTTTTGTACCGTTTCTGAGCTTTCTCAAGATAACNCAACGACGTTTTAGATCTACAGACTTTTTGTACTGTTTCTGAGATTTCTCAAGATAACTCAGTGCAATTTCAATAGTTTGGTTCTACTCTTGAGAGAAGCTTTTTGCTTGAGGGGACTTGGTACTTTGATCGATATTCACAGTATGAGGGAGTAAAGGTTGCTGGCCAATAGTAATTTCAAAAGAACTCTTATTGGTGGAAGAGCTCTTTTGGGCATTGAAACACATCTTAGCCGCATTCAAAAGTTTTGGTTGGGACATACGATTGGGTGCCCTGGTATGAGGTTTGGCACCTAGAACAAAGCTTAATCTCATGATCAATTTCCCTTCTTGGTGGCAATTTATTTGGTAACTTACCCGGCCTGCTGTACTCAAATTCCTTAGTAAGCCTTTCGACAGGTTTTGTAATGGGACCAGTCGCCTCTTCGATTTCATCTAATCGATGAGTGTACAAAAATGAGGGTTCATTCCTTTTGAAACCCTTACTCAATTGCATGGCCAAGATACTCATCTCGCCCATTTTCCCAGTTTGAATAGCAATGACGCATGGTTTACTACACATCATCATTAATGAATCAGAATATGGCAACACTGTTGCCTTAGTATCTCGAAGAAGTTCCAATATTAAAATAAGCTTGAAGTCATCCATCTGAACTGCAGACAAGTTTGTCCTTCCTTCGAAAGGACCCGTTTTGAGCAACACAAATTTCGCTACTCCAACTATTGGTTGAGCAGTGGAATTGATTACTTTGACCTTTCCACTATAAAACAAGTCTGAGTCGCCCCACTTTGGTACTTGCGAGGTAGTTGTAGGTAGCACCAGTATCTATCATAACCCTGATTGGCTTTCCATTGATCTTCACATCAATGTACATTAGGCATTTCGCCCTACAAATGTGAGTCCTCGATTCTTTCGTCCTTACCTCTTTCGAGGGGACCTTATCTTTTTTAGTAGTCCAGTGTGATAGTGTATTGCATTGATGCGAGAATGTACCAACTACATCATCATCCTCTTCGGAGTCATTCTCGCCATGACAGCTAGCTTGTGGGGCACCTTGCTTTGAACTCATCCCGCCACTTGCTAGTTGACAATATGTATTGACCATCCATTTTTGGGGACACTCTGCCACCCGATGGGGTCCTTCACATAGAAAGCACATCAATTTAGGAGTGGCATCAGATTTTCCCTCAGTTGCCTTCCCTTTATTCTAGTTGCTACTGTTGCTACCGTTATAGTTTCCTTGACGGCTGTTTTGATAATTTCCCTGAAATTTACTCTGACGGGTGCCTTGATAGGCTCCTTCCTTATTATGAGAGTAAAACTCTCCCCTATTTGAGTTTGAGCCATGTCTGTAAGGTCTGTTTTCACCTCCAACATCCTGACTATTCCTTAATGGCCGATCTTTTCTCGATTCCAACTGATAGTCACTTAAACATTCGACAACTCCAATAGTCGCGCTCAAATCAGTAACCTTTTGTCTCTGAAGTTCTGTGCGTGTCCACGGTTTCAACCCTTTCATGAAGGTGAAGAGCTTATCATTTTCTGATATATCTCGAATATTCAGCATATGTCCTGAAAAGACTTTCACATACTCCTTCATGGAGCTTGTGTGTTTCAGTTCTCGTATTCCTGAAAAGACTTTCACATACTCTATGATGGAGTTTGTATGTTGCAGTTCTCGTAGTGCCCGTCTGGCATGATATTCCACATTTTCTGAGAAAAATTGCGATCTGATCGCTTCTTTGAGGGGATCCTAAGAATCTATTCGGACACTGTTAGCCTGAATATCAGCATACTTAGTTTGCCACCACAGTTTTGCATCTCCACCAAGATACATGGTAGCTGTTGTAACCTTTCTAGTTTCGTCTTCAATTGAAGCCGCAATAAAGTATTGTTCCATATCAAATAAGAAGTCCTCTGTAGGTACACAATTTTGGAATTTAGAGCCTGGAAGTATACTCTCGTGCGGGGTTTGCCCATTGCCAACCGCACGTTGAAGAACTAGTAATTGAGCTCTCAACACTTCCATTTCCTCCTGTAGATCAGGAAGGATAACAACAGCTTCATTCATTGATGTGCAAGCCATTCGGCTTTCATCTAGTTGGATGTTTAATTCACTAATTTCCCTCTCTGCCTCCTCGGCTTTTTCCTCGAGGTTCTCCACGACATAGCACAACCTAGTAGTTGCTACTTCAAGCACATCTACGCGCTATTTCGTGTCCTCTTTTGAGGATCTACCACCTCCTTGGTGTTTGATTCAATTGGATCCATAATTTTTTTATCGAGTGTTTTGAGCCGCAGCTCTGATACCAACTTTCACGGGGTGCCTTTCTTCTTAGTACAGAAAGGGACACCGTGTGAGTAGACGTTTAAATGTCGAGGAATCATACTAAACGTTTTCTAATATCACAGCTATTTTACAATTGAAATAAAATATTTACAATGTGCACCGAAGTTGAGCAACTGAGGCTGCGATTGGGTAAAAGGGCTTAAGCAAAGTTGCAGTCCTTGACACCATGTCATGTTACTAGGAGGCAGTTTGTCGAACTTCCATGAAGAGATCGAACAGATATAGGAAGTCAAACTCATTTGGTCGAAGTCGACCCCTTACATAG